GTTGTCTTTGAGTTTCCCTAGAGTCTTCTTCTTAAATAAGTCTGAGATTTAAAATCCTTCTATTGTAATCTCTTGGTTTATAAGATACCCTGTTAATGTGGTGGTAATTTGTAGAGGTAGCAAAAGCATCCTATAGCCCCACAACTCTGGTTAGACTGGTAAACCTCAAGGTGCTTGAGCTACAGTAAAATATTTCTCTTTAAGGCAAACTTTCATTGAAGACGACTGAGTATTATTGGTGCATTTCAAAATGTTTATTTTGTTCTTCCTCATGCTAGAAGCCCTAGGGGATTTGTTTTTAGTCCCCTACCTAAGAACCTCTTGGGACTAATGGGGGCAAAAACTCATGAAAGCGTGGAGGTCCCTGTGATCTGAAATTTTTTTAATACTTGAGCTTTCTCACTGCAAGCCTTCAACAGATTCCAAGTTGTAGTTTTTTCCTAGTGGTACTGGCTCCCCTGGCAGGCGCTTGCTCTGGGGCTTCTCCTCTGGGTAAGCAATAATTCTCCATAACTACCTCTTTTCCCTACAGTGGTGCGGGCAGCAGTTTTCTTTGAGACCTCAGTTGTCTGATGAATCAAAGAGGAGTTTGTGAGTCTCAGTTTATTTACCTCTTTTCTTGTGAGGACAGGAGTGACAGCATTCAAGTGCCTTTCATGTTGGAGTATAAACCGGAAGTTCTCTTTTACCGTTTTTATTTCTTAATGGTTCCGTTACTGATTTTTCTTGTGTTTAATTGACTATAAAATAGCATTTTGATTTTATTTTCATTTCTTTTTCTGAATATATTCCAGTTATTTTCTTAGCAGCTGTCCTGAGTTTTACAGTTAATAACTTGCGTATGTGGGGCGCCTGGGTGGCTCAGTGGGTTAAAGCCTCTGCCTTCGGCTCAGGTCATGATTCCAGGGTCCTGGGATCGAGCCCCGCATCGGGCTCTCTGCTCAGCAGGGAGCCTGCTTCTTCCTCTCTCTCTCTCTGCTTCTCTGCCTACTTGTGATCTCTGTCTTTTCAAATAAATAAATAAAATCTTTAAAAAAAAATAATAACTTGCGTATGTAATTGTATAGTTTGAATACCAGCCTAGTTTGAACAGGGCACCAAAACTCTGCCCCAGTATAGTTTGTTCCTTTCTTCCTGTGATGTTCCTGGTAATAGCATTATTATCCGTTGTTTACCCACTAACGTAGATTTATGATTATTATCTTACATATTTAATCATCTACATGAAAAAAGTAAAGTTAAAATAATAAAAATACAACAATATTTCCCTGTGTCTGTGGAGTTGACTTTACCACTGTTCTTTATTTCTTTGCTTGGCATTGGATTACTGTCTGTTGTCCTGTTACTGGCTAATGTTGCAAGCATTGTGTTTGGAATATTTTACTTTCTTCTTCATTTCTGAAAGATAGTTTTCCAGATACAGGATTCTTGGTTGAATGTTTTTTCTTTTAATACTTTAAATATGTTATCTCACTGCCTTCTGCCATTTTTTTTTTTACAATAAATCTGCTATTATTCTTTTTGATGGACTTTGTAGTAAGTGACAACTTCCTTTTTTTCTTCTCTCTCTTTTTCTGCTTTCAAGATAATTTCTTTGACTTTGATTTTTGCCAGATTTATTATAATGTGTTTCACTGTTGAATTCCTTGCCTTTATCCTGCTTGAATTCCTTTGATTTTTTTGGATATGTAGATATATATCTTTTCTCAAATTGGGACATTACTGGTATTTTTCAAAAGTTCTTTCAATTCCTTTCTTCTTTTTCTCACCTATGACCCCCATTATGCATATGTTGGTACTCTTGATGTGTCACAGATCTCTTAGGCTTTCATTTCTCTTCTTGCTTTTTCTTTCTGCTCCTGTAACTTGATAATTTCAGTTTTCCTATCCTCAAGTTCACTTATTTTTTCACAAGATCAAATTTGTACTTGAAAGCCTACAGTGAGTTCTTCATTTTCATTGTTGTAACTGCCACTTTCAGAATTTCTTTTGAGTTTCATTTCTTTCACTTTATTAATATGTTCTATTTGTTGAGAAATTATTTTCCTCTTTGTTTCTGTTCATTATTTCCTTTAGTTTTTTTAATTTATTTAATATAATTGGTAATTCCAATTTCTGTGCTTCCTCAGGGATAGGTTGTTTGATTGTTTTTTGGCAGTTGGTGCATACTGTCTTCTTTCTTCATATTCCTTATAATTTTTTAAAAACTGTACATTTTTAATAGTCTAGGAGGTAGTAATCATGAAGTCAGATTCCTCCACCTCTTTTGTGTTTGTTTTTGTTGCTCTTGTGAGTTGTAATCATTTGTTTTAGTGACTTATCTAAACTACCTTTGTAAGACTCTGTTCTTTGTTGTACATGATCTCTCGTGTCCTTTAGCTTGATGTTAGCTAGTGTTCTGATAAAAGTTTCTTCAGGTGCTGTGCATAAGTCAACTTCTGTGGACTCAGCATTTTCTTTGTTGATGTAAAAATTAGGTGTTTTACAGAGTGTCAGCAAATTTGATTCTGACTGTTTTCTGTCATTTTTGTCAGCAGTTCTATGGTAGGATGTCACTTGAAATATCCTACTTCACCATTTTACAGATATCATTTCTTTTTCATTTTTAAATTTTGTAGAAAGTTTCATATAAAAAGACAAAAAAGCATGCATAGTTTTATACAGGATGAGCTTGGCCATCTAGCCTAAGTAAAGCAGGTATATCAAAGGAGGCAGGGGTTCAGAAAGAAAAGATGCTTTCTTGGCTCCAGAGAGCTAGTTGAACTGATATAGACAGCATAAGTGTTGTTTGGTTTACCTAAAAAGGTGGTGGGGGTGAATATTGCATGTTGGCTCTTACCACCTTTAGAACTGGAGTATAACTTGAGCATTTTAGATGTTAACGACTTGATTAACCACTCTCTACACTGATTCTAAAGACTGGATAATTTTTGTGGATTCTGTTACTGTTTTCAACAATTTTGCTTTAACAGATTTTTTTTTTTTTTTTTAAGATTCATCTGTTTGACAGAGAGAAAGAGAGACAGAGAGAGAGGGAACACAGGCAGGGGGAGTGGAAAAGAGAGAAGCAGGCTTCCCACCAAGCAGGGCGCTCAATGCGGGACTTGATCCCAGAACCCTGGAACCATGACCTGAGCCGAAGGCAGACTCTAAAAAAATGACTGAGCCACTCAGGTGCCCCTAAATAGTAGATTTTTTAAAAAGATTTTGCTTATTCCTTTGAGGGAGAGCAAATGAGCGGGGTGAGGGAAAGAGGGAGAAGCAGACTCGCCTCCGAGCAGAGAGCCCAATCACTACCTGAGCTGAAGGCAGATGCTTAACCAACTGAGCTGCCCGCATACCCCAATAAATAGTAGATTCTGATGGATTTTTAAATTTGCCTTAAACTTTTATACAGACTCAAATTAAAAATAAAATTGTGTCTCTACATGATGATCTGATCTCATAATCATATTATGATAAATAGGTAGACTCTGGCCTAATGTCTTCTGAAATACTTTGTAATGAACAATAGTTTCAAAAGTCCTTAGGTAAATGATATTTTAAATATTTGGCTACATTTTTAAAAGTACTTTTTTTTAACTTCATTGTATATTTTTGATACATAAGTCTAGCAATTTTCATTTCCTGGGTCTAGTTTTATGATGGTCTCATTTTAAAAGGATTTAAAAGATAGTCCATAAAAAAACAAAAAACCAAAAACTTTTTTTTACCCAATTTACAGTCCTTCTTGGAGGTCTGCTTCAGGTTAACGCCTGTTTTGTTTGGTTTTATAAAATCACTCTGATGTACTATATTGTCTTTTTGTGATATTTTGTAATACTTTATGATACCAGTTGAGAGGGCAACAGGGAAATTTCATGACGTACACTGTTTTGAAGAGATATTAAAAAAAGAATATTGAAGTATTGAAGATTTCCCAATATTCCACAGTATATTCTGCATTGTTAATACTTTTATGGTCAGTTTTATTATTTTCATATCAGTGCTTATCCATCCAACATATTTTACATAATGTGCTGGGCAAATGTTGATAATATGAGCCAGGATCTGTCTTCTCATATAGAGAATTTGGGAAAAGTAAATTAGTCACGATTGTTTGTGGTTATATTATATAGAACTTAGATTGTTAAGATTGACATTTTAAATCCTATTTTCACAGCTAGGAAGGAGATAAAGTCATAATAGCCTCTTACTTTGCAGAGCAGAGGCTGGATCTCAAGGAGATATTAAATAATATGCCTGTGTTTATTAGTGCTAGACCTAGGGATAGAAATCAGATTTTTAAAAATTTTTTAATTTTTAAATTTTTTTTCAGATTTCTTTTTATGTATTTTCATAAATAATGGGAAGTAACAAGGTTTTAGAACTGTGGTAATTAAGTTGACAAAATAATTAGAAAGATTATTTAATGGAAATCTTAAGTCATCTTTTTCTTATTTCCTCTTTGATTTTTATGTCTCACAAGTTTTTATGTCTTCCACGTTGTACAGTTAAGTGGTATATAGTTATTCCTAGTAGCCTTTTAATGATCTTTTGAATTTCCATCTTATCAGTTGTATTATTTTTTTATTTATAATTTTGTTGGTTTGGGCCCTTTCTTTTTCCCTTGGTTAGTTTCACTAAGGGGTTGTAAATTTTGTTTACTTTTCAAAGAAGCCACTCTTCATACGGTGAAGCTTTTCTGTGGTTTTTCTGTTCTCTATTTTATGTATTTCTGCTCTGCTCTTTCCTCTCCTCATTGTCATCATCAGGCATGGTTATTGTTACTATCATTACTATTAATCTTTAGGTTCACGTAGTGAAGTTTTCCTTATTTACATAAAACAAATCTTTAGCCTAGATTTATAGCTGAATAGTATAGTTTAACATTGGGAAATTGTTTAATTACTACTGGATGAGGAATATTAGATAAATGACCTATTGTGTATTTCAAAAACCAATTTTAATACTGTGATACAGACTTTGGGCCCTTGATAAAATATAATGTATTTTTTCAGTTTCATCTCTAGACACTGAAAAAGGACCTAAGCCATGTGCAGACCATAATTGTGAATCTTCCAAAAGACTGTCTAAGGTATGTTATGTGAGGCTGGAGAAATTTAAAAAAACATGAAAATGCTCAGTGTGTAATTAAGCATCTTAGCTAGGTATTGAACACATCAGATCTATCCCTCAATTTAGGAAATTCAACAGTAAAAATAAAACTTCATCAAATAATAAATGATAACTTAATACAGTTAATATTTTAATGAAATGCTTTAAAATTTAGTATCTTGTAACTGTGTTAAGAAAGGTGATTTTTCAGTTTCTTTGGCCTTATTTGCTGTTCCATGTTAATTTAGAATTATTAATCAAGTAGAATTCCCTCAGAGTTACTGTTACCCTACCTAAAATGATAAATTTGATCTACCATGTTTCTTTTTTCTTTTTTTTTTTTTAAAGATTTTATTTATTTATTTGACAGACAGAGATCACAAGTAGGCAGAGAGACAGGCAGAGAGAGAGGAGGAAGCAGGCTCCCTGATGTGGGGCTTGATCCCAAGACCCTAAGATCATGACCTGAGCGGAAGGCAGAGGCTTAACCCTCTGAGCCACCCAGGCGCCCCTGATCTACCACGTTTCTTAACCATTTTCATGTTCTTCTAAAAGCAGCATCCTGTATCTATGCTCAAGGCAGAAATGAGGCTGAGCCTCCCAGCAGAAATCTACTTTAGTTTTCTCTTTCATGTTATACTTCACATACTGTTTACACTGTAACTTATGGCAGTTTTGTGTCCTGTCTGTGGTTACTCCCCTGTGATCAGAAGCACTTTGTAAAAAAATGTTATTTTTAGGGGAGCCTGGGTGGCTCAGTCATTAAATGTCTGCCTTTGGCTCAGGTCATGATCCTGGGGTCCTGGGATTGAGCCCCATATTGGGCTCTCTGCTCAGCGGGAAGCCTGCCTCTCCCCCTCCCCCTGCTTGTGTTCCCACTCTGTCTCTGTCTGTCAAATAAATAAATAAAATCTTTAACAAATGTTATTTTAAAATATTTGGAATTTAAGATTACTTACATTATGATAGTTGTCAAAATGTCCTTATAAAAGTATAGGTATATCGCATATTCAGGTCCACAACCATCACTTTTGCCCAGTGAAACTGACAGGGGTATGATTTCTTAATTTGTGCCTCCTGAGATATAGCTACATCATCAATCTGTGTGTTATCTGGTATTCCATTTAAAAGTTTTCCTTAGGGCTTAACCTTCATCTCTGGGGTAGATTTGATATTTATTTATTTATTTTTACTTTGGAAATAGGGTTTATGTTCTGGGGCACCAGAGAGCAGTCAGTCTTATTTTTTTATTCTTATTTCTTAATCCATGGGTAATGTGCTAATCATTCTTTCTTTAATTAATAGCACATCTTTTAGATTCCTACCAATCTTCAAACTTTTGAATAGTCATAGTCCTTCAGCTGGTGTAATTTCTTTGGTGATGTGGGAATGTGTGTTCAAGCAGAGAAATTAGAACTAGGGAAGGAAACAGAAACATTTTATTATTTTCCTTCAAGGTGATTTCCTACTGATTCCTTTTGTAGTTTTCTTATATCATTCAACACTGAGAATTAATTTTATTTGTACTTCTTATATAGAAACAAAAAAATCAAATTCTGCATTCCATGAAACTTGCAGTAACAAAGGTGTGCAGTTTTATTAATTCCTTAGGGTATTATGTAGCTGTCTTACATTGCTGTCAACGAACATTCTGCCCTATGATTTTCCTGTCATTTGGATATTTTTTCTTTTTCTTTCTTTCTTTCTTTTCTTTTCTTTTCTTTTTTTTTTTTTTTCTATACATCCATCTGCCTTTTTCTCTTCTGCTTTCCTTCCTGTTTCCCTTTTTTCTTTTCTGGGCATAAGATGGTCTCTTTTTGCCTATTTTATTAAAATAGACGAGTGTTTTTCGGTTGATGGTAGTGTAATAGCAGTATAATAGTTAGCACAATAATAAAATGAATTCAAAAGCTCCAGACCAGAGTGTTTTCACAGAAGCATTCCAGGGACTTTGATGTTCATTTCATTCAGTTTTCAACTTTTGGGCCTTTTTGTTTTGTATTAACTTCTTATTACTAAATACACTTTGAATTTAGCAAGGTCTAGGTAACCTAAAATGTTCCCCCGACTATGGGAAATTCAGACTTACTTTACCATATTTGTCCCAGGGGAGATGTATCTCTTTGAAGATTTGATCCAGATATATTCTGTTTCTTCTTCGATGCACTGGTTTTCCACTCTTCTCTTCCAGTGATGTATTTGTCAGTCTTTATGCCATTGCCACCCTTTGTTCATGCCTGTACCTTTACAGCAAATCTGATGTCAAGTAGTATAAGTATTTTATTTTGGTTCCTTTTCAAGATTGTTCTAGATGTTCTCAGTCCTTTTTAATTACAGAAATTTTTTAAGTCTCCATGTCAGATTTCTAAAAACAAACAAAAAAATGCCCTGGATTCTGATAAGAGTTACCATGTATCTATAGGTCAGTTGGTAAGTCATATTTTCATAATGTTAAGTTTTCCAATACCTAAACATGTTAGTTCTCCCTCTTTATTTAGGTTTAAAAAAATTCATCTTTTTGTTATTTTTTCCTTTGGCAGTTTTTGTTTAAAGGGCTTGCATCGCACATTTTCTGCTCAATTTGTTCCTAAGTATTTTGTGGGTTTTAATTTTTTTAGTGCTGTCTTAAATGGACTACTTAAAAAATTCATTGGTCAGTTGTTTTAGTTGTCAGTAGATGTTTGCATGGTGCATATTTGCATATTGTATTTATAGCCACTTGTTAAATTCATTTCTTACAGTAGTTGCTTTAAAGACTACTTAGGATTTTCTGTGTAAACCATCATGTCATCAGATGCAAATAAGAGTGTTTCCTTTTTTTCTGATTTTTATGCCTTTTATTTCTCTCCTGATCCTGTTTGAATCTACAGTATGATGTTGAATAGATGTGGTGAGAGTAGATATCCTTTTCTTGTTCCTGATCTTAGGGAAGCTACAATTTAGGCTTTCACTATTAAATATGCTGTTAGCTCCAAATTTTCATAGATGTCTTTTAGCAGATCAAGGAAGTTCCCCTCTGTTCATCATTTACTGAGAGATTATGTTATGGATATTTGTTCATTTGTGTCAAATACTAATCCTGCATTTATTGAAAAAAAACCCACATATGTCTTCATTACAAATTTAACAAAATATGTGAGACCTTTAAACTAAAAACTGTAGTTTGTTCTTTTATTCTTATGAAATGTCCCCTTTAATTCTTGCTCTCAAATTTTATCTGAAATTAATGTTATTAATTCAGTTGTCTAATGCTTACTGTTTGCAAGGGATATATGTTTCTAACCTCTTAATTTCAGTTATCTGTGTCTTTATATTTAAAATGCATGTTTCTTGTAGACAACATATAATTAACGCCCTTGTCTCAATAAAAAAATCTTTAATTGGAGCATTTATTCCAGTAAAATTTAATGTAATTATGATACAGTTGGATTTATGCCTACTGTTTTACTATTGTTGCTTAATTTTGTTCCCCTTTTTTATCCTTTGAGTGTATTTTTAGAGTTTCATTTTATCTATCTACCCATTTATTTATATTGAGATAAAATTGACATATAACATGATATTGGTTTTAGATATATAATGTTGTTATTAGTTTCAGGTATACAAATAATGATTTAATATATGTATCTGTTGCAATGCTATTACCACAGTAAGTTGACATCTGTAAACACACAGAGTTGCACATTTTGTGTGTTCAACTGTACAAGGTGAGTAAGTCTGGGATGTCAGGTACACCACTTTGACTCTGGTCAACAACATTGTATATTTGGAAGTTGCTAAGAGAAGTAGATCTTAAAATTCTCTCTGCACACACTTCCCATGTTTTCAGTTACCCATGGTCAACTACAGTCCAGAAGCAGATGATCTTCCTTCTTTTGTCAGTAGGTCATTAGTAACCCTAATGCTGTGTCACAATGCCTGCATTATTGACCACACTTCTTCTCATCATGTAGGACTTTTGTCATGTCACATCATCACAAGTAAAACAAGGGGTCAAGTACAGTACGATAAGATATTTTAAGAGTCAGAGATAAAGAGATTACATTCATGTAAATTTTATTATTGTACATTATTATACTTGTTCTATCTTATTATTATTGTTAATCCCTTACTGTGGTATACTTGATAATTTAAACTGTACCATAGGTGTGTGTAGATAGAACAAAACATGGTATTATGGGGTTGAGTAATATTCACAGTCTCAGGCACCCACTGGGGGTTTTGGGACATATCCTCCATGGGTGGTTGGGGATCGACTGTAACTGGAAGTTTGTACCTTTAATTACTTCTTTATTTTTCATTGCTGACATGCATTTTGAAATTTATTATTTAAAATCAATTAATTAACTTATAGTGTATTATTAGTTTTAGAGGTAGAGCTTAGTGATTCGTTAGTTGCATATAACACCCAGCGCTCATTACATCAAGTGTCCTTCTGAAAGTCCATCACCCAGTTACCACATCTCCCCTCCCCATTCCCCTGCAGCAACCCTCAGATTGTTTCCTAGAGTTAAGAGGAGTATCTTATGGTTTTCCCCTTCTTTGATTTTATCTTATTTTATTTTTCCTTCCCTTTCATTATATTCATCTGTTTTGTTTCATAAATTACACATATGAGTGAAATCATATGATACTTGTCTTTCTCTGACTGGCTTATTTCACTCAGCATAATACCCTCCAGTTCCATCCACATTATTGCACATGGCAAGATTTCATTCTTTTTGATGACTGAATAATATTCCATGGTGTATAGATACATTTTTTTATCTGTTCATGAGTTGATGGGCATGTAATGACTTTTGTTGCTTACTACATTTTTTGCCTTAAAATCTATTTTGTCTTCTATTAAGCATGGCTTCTCCAGCTTTCTTTTAGTTTCCATTTACATGGAGTATCTTTTCCTGTTCCTTCAGTTTCATTTTTTGTGTTTCCTTAAACCTGAAGTCAATTTCATGTAGACAGCATACAGTTCGGTCTTGT